CGGCGCACGGCCCGGCGGGCGTCGGTGTCTTCCGTGGCCAGGAGTTGCTTGGGAGGAAAGGGAGTTGGCTTCGGTGTTTGGACAGGATGAGACATTCGGTGCAGCAGTCACTAGGCAGACGAGACTGAGAAGTAGCTTTGAACCAGATATACTTCTCACTTCTTCTAGAAATCCAAGTGGCAGCTTCTGGCAATGGAAAAGGCTTACATGTGTGAAGAGCCTGGTGTTTTCCAGTCTGCAACTGTACATCTTCTGCAGGAGCGGTATGGGTTGGCACAGCAATGGACCAAGTGGAGCGCTTAATGATCTTCATGTCAAACAAGCAGAGAAGTGCTGGGAGTCGATGTTTCTCCAACAAAAGATACACTCCCAAGGAGGTTGCTAGGTTGGAGGCCAATGCCTTTTATGAAAAAGTAAAAAAGAAGCCAAGGAAGTGAACTGATGTTTGAGTAGGATGTGATCACGACTGAGGCCGACAGCACAGCCCGAATGAAGAGACGAAGGAGCTTCATCGGAGACAAACACGACGAAGCAGAAGCATGTGTGCAACAGGTTTCACCTGAGTGTCGTTTTTGGTGGTGCAATGAGAAATTCCAACAGTCTAACACGCACGAGACGACAGCTGTTCCAAAGGTCCGCTTCACTTGTTTTTGAAGATGGCCGCCAAGCACCACGGGAGCTCCAGTCTTGTGGTTGCTTGAAACCCGACCGCACCGGACCGCACAGACCGCAGGAGGAGAGCACTTCGAAATCAGGCGCTGCGAGCAACGAGAAAGACCCCAGAAGTCGTCCATCGGACTGTGAGGGATCTGAAGGAGATCTGAAGGATTCCTATCGGATTCGTTTGGTTTCTACTAGCTTCGTGTTCCTAGGAGTAAGGCCCTTTGCTCCTAGTAGCAATGCACTTGTTCCTAGTAGCTTATTGTTTCTATTTAAGAGTCAGGGCACTGGTGCTTTCCACCAATCCGTTTGGTTTTTTACGCCCTTGGCATCCTTTCTGATTGACCAAGTTACATCTCATTTTTCATGCCTGTGGAGAGTTTTTGAATGTCCTAGTCAAGGCAACCAGAGTTTTTGAATCTCCATCAATATATATATATATATATAGAACTCCCCCATATGAAGATGATCAAGATTCCACATTTGTGGGTTTGGATGTTGATGCCTCGCTTCAGTTGGCAAGCCCTGCGGTGGACTTTGGCTCGAGCTTCTGTTCTGCCTTTCTGATTTGATCGGTTGAGCAGTTTCCAAAACGCGTTTGGGCCATGGCGAGGACCTTTGAGGGAAGGATCTTCATGAAGCCCTTGGCGAAGAGTCGGGGGCAAAGCGCGGAGGTCTACGTCAATGTAGGTTGGGTCGCGTCCGGGAGCCAGGGCCTTCCACCTTACGATGCTCGCTTGGAGGCAGCTTGCTCGCAAGAGCAGTGGGATGATTTGATGGCAAGCTACAAAGCCTTTCATGACGAAAAGTCTGTCCCTGAATGGATGCCAATTGTCAACTGCTTCTTGTGTCCATTTACCTTGGGGCTGACCTGTTGCTTGACGAATGCCATGATCTACAAATACACCTCCGGCCTGGAGCTCATCACCAAGGAGAAGACCAAATCTTGGAAGTGTCCTGCGAGGTTCGAGAATGTAAGGTTGTACGGGCCCGCGGGAGAGGCACCCGACCAGATCCCCTATGATCAGTACGGCCAGCCCCTCCTTGCAATGCGGGGCAAACCGGGAGACAAGCCGTTCGCCGAATGGCCACCGGCAGGATGCAACCTCGTCATCAACCTCAACGTTCGGGCTGAAGAGTTTGCACAGCAGTGGCTCCCACAGGGACCGGTCGCTCCCATGCAGATCGGGATGGCGTGACTGGTGGCCGCGACATGCCGCGACCCAGCGTGACCCCGGTGAATGTTTTTCCAACTTGTTTTGCATGGCATTCGGTCCTTTAATCTTTGACCGTATGCCCCTTGCTCACGTCCTGTCATTTTTTCCGTGGGAGTGCCAAGTACCCCCGCGTGCTTTCGAGATCGTCAAAGTCGAGAGCTGCAAAATGTTGTGTGAGCTTTTGGAAGGGCCTTGCTTCATTGGTTGGCGCAGTGGTTTTTCTAGTTGACCGATTGGCTAAGTCAGCCTTGACAGGAACACCGGTGCAATCCATCTTCGCACTTCCAGGTGAGGAGGACGAGGCCTGTTTGTTTCGAAGCAGAGGGATAGGTCGATGGCAACTGAATGATGCCAAATGCGAATGTCAGTGTCCGTCAAAATCTAGGAACCAAATCACACCCTCAGGGAGCTTCCTTGAAGCGTGAGCTAGTCGCCCTTACGACGTAGGCGCCTACGAAGTAGGCACCGCAGGGCCAACCTTTCGCCGCAGACGCTTCGGTTCGAGTCGGTACCGGGACCGCGTGGCGTTGCCGCTGCGTGGGCATGTGGCTCCTGCGGAGTATCTCCGGCGAAGAGGCCGGAGGACCTTCCTTCTTGCGCTTCAAAGGCGGCAACACACCTTGCCGCATGGCCCCCCAATTCTGCAAAAAGTTTGGAGATTCTGGAAGGTCGTTGGCTTTTTGGTACTAGGAGCAAGAAGCTATTAGGGGCTCCTGGCATCGCTACTAGGAGCAAGGACGCTATAGGGGCTCCTGGCCCTACTACTAGGAGCAAGGTGGCCCTACTACTAGGAGCAAGGACGCTACTAGGGGCTCCTACATGTGGTGGGTCTCCTGAATTTCAGAGACTCCTGTCGTCAGACCTGGAGAAGAAGGAGATTCCCGAGTCGAGTCAGAAACAGATCACCTTGGCATAGATAAGGATGCGTTTAAAAAACCTGCTCGCAACTCATCGACTCATGTTTATCCATCTTCGGAGTTAGCTCATGCCACTGGGATGCCTTGACCTTAAAATCAGCGTGGCCTTGTGTCCTGTGGCATGCCTTGTCAGGTGACCGAGTCACGGGCTCAGGAGGACAAAGATATATGAATTGCGTTTCCACGTGGCATGAGGACCTCCTTGGGACACCTAAGGACCTCCTTAGGACCTCCTATAGGACCTGATTAATCCTACCTCCTGCCTCATTCTTTCACCTCCCAAAAGGAAAGCCGCAGAACGCTCCGAGGCCCGGCGCCGAGCATTTCAATTTGAGCGACGAGGTGCGGAGGACGAGTGGACGGGCTCTTTTTTTTTGAGCCTTTTTTGAGTGATTGAACGGGTGTGTGTGGTAATCAAGGCTGTCATGGTGATCATGGTGTATGAGTTTCACAGAGCTGGTCAAAGGAGAACCTTTTAACAGAAATCAGTTTGGTTCGGGGTGGAAGACGTGTTCATCCTGAAGAGTGCACCATTGGACGCTCGAACAGGTACAGACCTCCGATCCTCAGGAGCAGCCGGGGCGAACCAAATGGGAACACCGAATGCGAGTTGTAGCACCTTGCGGATGGGAGGCATGTAGCACCAGTATCAGCAGCTGGCCAGTTCGGTATAGATTCAAATCAACCTCCCAAGCAACAGAGCCCTTTCTGTTGGTTGCAGCGGTTGGATTGAGGATCAAGGAGCAACGTTTGCCGAAGGGGGCCTCGGTTGGTCAAAACCACCAGCTTTGTGCCAACAAGCTGAGGAACCTTTTGCTTTTTTTTCCTGCTCTGGTCCTCACCCAGGACTTATGGGAAGCTCCGGTCCTCAATCGCACTCAGAGCAAAGGAAACAACTCGAGCCGCGCTTGAAGCGTGAGGAGCTTGAAGCGCAATATAACTTCGATGTCTTCAACCGACAGGTGGTGGGGGCAGGGTTGTGGAGGTCTCGGTCTCAAGAGGCTGTGATGGACTGTGATGTTTTTGTGACCTCAGTCCACCTATTTGGGATCGAAGATGTGATGATGAACAGCTCCAGTTCGACCACTGGCGGCCAGTGGTCGAATGTACATTGCTTTCCACTGGAACATACCAAATTAGGGTGGAATCCTGCACCCCAAAAAATCAGCCAGATCTGAAGATGTCCGTCTCAACACCATAGACATGATATGACATGATTCCTTTTAATTACTGGTTGGTTGAGCTATAGAGGAGAGAAAAAAAAAAAAGAACCCTCAGGGTGTACCTACTCTCCTCGACCCGGTCCCGTTGACCGATCGACGGATCCACCGCCCCACCGCCCCAGGCCTCCGCGCCCCAGCACGACATGGAGCTCCGGTGCCTCGATCGTCGAGGGGTCTTTCGTGTTCGTCGGAAAACGGTGCAAGCCATTCCCCAACCTGTCTCTCTTCTGTCTCCAAAAAAGACGACTGGAAGAATCCTGAGATAGACGATATCGAAGGTCACTGACTTGGGAACTCCAGTGTGTTCCCTCTTTCCAGCTTTGTTCTGTGCCCAGTATCACCATGTTCGACCAGCCGCCAGAGGTTGGCCAAATGTGTACAGGTGAAGAGCTCAGATGGCGCTTCAAGAATGGGTGAAATACATGATGTGTCGCCGATGTATTTGCGATTTGGAATGATTTGATGAGGAGGGGATCTTTTTACTGCAGATGCTCCTTTTTCCAAATGGTGAGGTTTCTTGGGCGACAATTGACCCACTCCACAGCTCCAGAATGGGCCATTGACAAGAGCGGTCGTTCAAAAAAGAAAAAACCGCTTCCTTCTTTCCACTACGGTAACCGTACAATCCGCTCTTCTTGTGGATGTCGGAAACTCCGCTTTGACGCCACGAACGCGACGAGAGCGAACGGTCGACGCTTCGTGACTCCCAGGTCTTGGGCCAATTGGAGGTGCCTCGAAAGGATGTTCGGAAGCCATTGGACTCTGAGAGTTGGTTCTGGGATTTGACACGGGCAGAAGGAATCAGGAATCATCCTTGAAAAGTTTCTACTAATCCTATGAATTGTATAAAGACTGGATCTTAATTTCTGTTCTTTTTCATCACGAAAGCTAGCGAAGCTAGCTGGAGTTACTCTTGCGATGCAAGGTTTCTTTCGACCGGGTGCAAATCCTAACCCCTGATTTTTCAGGTCTCCCCACCTCCCCTCTCCCCACCTCCCCTCTCCTCCTCCTTGTCTTCCTCCCATCTTCCCTCCCTCCCTCCCTCCTCCCTCTTCGCAAGTTCGACTCCGTCCTGCCGTCGCTCTTTGGCATGCGGTTAGCGTTGCGTATCTTGCGGCCGCACTCGCTCACTCTCACTCTCACTCTCTCACTGTCTCACTGTCTCTCTCATCTCTCTCATCTCTCTCATCTCTTTCTCATCTCTCTCATCTCTCTCTCCTCTCTCTCTCTCTCTCTCTCCTCGCTGTCTCTCGTCTTTCCGTCTCTCTTCTCTCTCTTCTCTCGCAGGAGGATCCGGGCAAAGAGCCACATATAAAGGACTCTTCACCCCTGCCTCCAAAAAGAGCGCCGTGTTTTTTCCTACCTCGCTGCCCTCCACTTTCCCATTCTGGAGCGCTAGCTTTCGCCCCCCCCCTTGGCCTCAAGTTGTGTTCTTGTGACTTGGACTGAAACACCCAAGGGAGCCTTCCTTTCTGATTCCAGGTGGGTTTGAGGGAAGTGCGGCAGCTGGGCCCTCAGACCACCTGGGAAACGGGAAGGTGTTGGAGGGGTCTCTGACCGCACCTCAGTTCTCAGACAGACGAAACGGAACGCGAGGTGCGCGGAGGAAGCGCCGGACTTTCGAAGGCGCGAAGATGAGAAGAGTCATCGGGTTCCGTTCGTAGCGTCCGAACCCTCCTAGTAGTAAGGCCAGGAGCCCCGTTCGTAGCTTCTTGTTCCTTTTGTTTTACCGTTCTCTAAATCGGGAGTTGGGTGAACGGTTTTTTGGAGGGTTCATTTGGTTACTATGACCCGTGGAACCTTTGACTGAGTCTTCCCTTGAAATCGTTTTTGTACAAGGCAACGACGTTCTTTTTCTTGCCAGCGGTTTGTTTCTTTAAGAGGGGCTAACACCATACATTGGAACTGCAGAGTGTATATGTTTGGCAGCCAATTAGGGTGTGTCACACAATATCTCTTCAAGTTCATCTCCCACAACCCGAAGAAGTGGCAGTTGTCCTGGCAGGCTTCATCAGATGCTTCATCAGCAAGAGCAAGTGATTGCTCAAACTCTTCAGGAGGCCAAGTTGAACACAAACCCAGAAGATCCTAAACCAGCACATTAAAAAGAAGAAGCCAAGATGCAGAGAGAGAGAGAGAGAAAGAGAGGAGGAAAAAGGGGAGGATGTTCCGGTCGGATGTTCCGATGGATGTCCAGGTGCGTTCCGATGCCGAAAGCCGGTTAGTGCAACAGATGGCACACTACGAGGCACGGTGCGTCGGAGCTCCTCGTCTCATTGCATCTCGTTGTTGGACTCGAGACCAAGAGATGCCAGAGAGATCTAGATCTCAGAGACTCAAGGAGCTGCTCGAAAAACAGTGTCCTCATCCCTTTGAAGCAAACGTTTGCTGCGAAGTAGTTTGCTTCAAAGACCTGCGCAAAGCCCAAGGTTGGGGGAATCCGTTTCGGTTCTGCGCGTGTAGTTTCTGGCAGGTCCTGGCAGCCGAGCAACCCCTCTTGGAGGCGGGGTTGGTACGGTGGGAAGCCCATGAAATTGTGCTGTGTTGGATACCATTGTCAACCAAGGTTTCCTTTCATTGTCTTTTGCGTTGTAGTTAGTTGCTTCTTTGAGGTTTTCGGAGAGGGGTTGTTCGGTTGGCTGGGGGGATCCTTTGAAGTGATGCACCATGGAAAACTCCCCTTTTCGAGCCATTACTAGCAGCTACTTGCTCCCAGTAGTATGGCCAGGAGCCCCTAGTAGCGTCCTCGCTCCTAGTAGCGATGCCAGGAGCCCCGTTCATAGCTTCTTGTGGATTCGTTTCTCAAAAGAAATCAGGCACCTCAAGAGTCTCCGATCGAAAGGATGCAACCGGCGCGTTTCGGCGGTCCAACGCCTCGACGGACGAGTCGCCAGGAACAAGTGAACCAATTGGCCAGCGTGGCCGAGGCCTACTGTAGGATTTTCTCAGACCACTTTCAGAGCCGATACAACGTAACAAGGAGGTCTTGAGAGGCCTTGGCTCTGAGGCGACATACAATGTTCCTCCCGAAAACACTTTCTGTTTGCAAACGTCTTTCGAAACGGTCCCTTTTGTCGGAAGCAGAAGTCTTCGCCAGGAGCTCACGGACGCCTTGGAGGAGGGTGAAGACACAAACAGCAAGCAGATACGCCCGTGTAAGGTTGGCACTTCTTGTGTTTGCCAGCCACATATGCACCACGTATTCACCCAAATGTGCCTGGTTCTGTTCATAATCCGTGGTAGATGCGTGTGCTTGTGGACAATAGACGCATCTGTCGATTCTTAGCACGTCTTTTCCTCCTGCAGTAGTAACAAGAAGCTATTAGGAACAAGTGTATCGCTTCTAGTAACAAGTGCCTTACTAGTAGTAACAAGAACGCTATAGAATTTAATTAGAATTAAGTGCAGCGTGTCTCTAGAATCGGCACTTGTTCCCTAGTGAGGCACTTGTTACTACTAGTAAGGCCAGGAGCCCCTAGTAGCTTCTTGCTCCTAGTAGTAAGGCACTTGTTCCTAGTAGCGTCCTTGTTACTACTAGTAAGGCACTTGTTACTAGAAGCGATGCACTTGTTCCTAAAAGCTTCTTCTTCTGCAAGGATTGGGTCATGAGAATTTGCAGTTCGAACTTTTGCTTGAGTCCGTACCAAGCGTCTCTACACACCTCTCTCCCTCTCTCGCAACCTGTGTTTTGTCTCGGTCTTCCGATCCTTTCGAGGATGCCAAGAGCATCGAGGCACAGCTCAGTAGCGACTTGGCGCTGACGCAGCAGCAGCTGGCCGAGGAGGGGAGGGGTCATGAGAGGTGACTGGCCGACCGTTGTTAGGCAATGGGGTGAATGCGACTGGTGGACTCAAAACCTTTGAAGCTTCATTGAAAGAAGGTCTAGAAATGCAGCCTGGAATCACAAAGAAAAATATATAAATGTATTCTATGTGTTATTTTGTAAGAAAAATAATATGTGTTTTGCGCAGTTAAACTGCCAAACCTGGCTGACACGATGCGCTCCAGGCCGTGGCACGAGTCTCGCAGCTCGAGGACAATGGCGGCTCTGCTCTACAAGAGACGGTCGCCCGGAACCCTAAAGTTGTCTTTTTGAGCCTCCTCCGCCTCCCTCCTTAATTCAGTAAGGGAGAGGTAGCTAGTAGCTTAAGTAGCTAGTATGGACGCAGGATAGCTCATGCTTCTTGAAAGAAGCGCGCGCGTTAATGATTTGGCTCCTAGACTTTGGAAAGAAGACCGACCTTTGCAATGTTGTACCGCTTCTGTGTCGGGTGAGTCATGTGTCGTGTGTGTGTGGGGGGCGGTGGGTAGCAGTAGCAGCGGGTCGTGTTGCTTGTGCTGAAGGGTTTTTCAGTGGCCAAGGCCCAGCAAGCCGCGGAGCTGGAAGCATTTGCCTCAATCGGTAGAGCCAGATTTTACAAGATCAAGATCATGTCTCAATGTCATCTCCAAAAAGTAAGTTTCCCTAAGAATCTAGAGACCAAATCATTAGTGAGACCATCAATCTCATCCTCGTCTTTCATGTTATGAGATTGATGGTGTTCCAGGAGTTATAGTCTATGGCTTGTTATTTTCTTGAGATATATTTTACAATAATAACAAGAGAAACAGAAATTATAAACTAAAAGCTTGGCAATCCATATTATATCTTATACACTAGCCTATGGCCTTGCTATGTTATATAAATTAAAAATAGCAATGCGATTAAGTTAAGAGCATTAAAGAAAGAAATAATCCCATTCATTTTTATAAGATATTTTAACTAAAATGAATGGGAAAGATATTACTTATTATGGGCTTTTTCTAATATTAAATTGCTGAATTTATTCACCTAAGAAATAGCGCTTCTTCAAGGAAGCTTCCCCCGCCGCCCCGTCGGGCGGCGGGGGGGAGTTTCGATTTCTTTGAAGAAGCGCCAGCTATTCCTCTAACGGGTAGGAATAGCTACCTCTTCCCACTAGCTACCTACCTCTAGCTACGACATACCCCCCCTTTAAAAATAAATATATATATATATATATTGTGTGTTTCTTCTGTTTTCTTTCACCTTACGAACCGCACCGACCAACGGTGCGATGTCTTTCCAAGGCTGAGCGGGCACACGTCCGAGAGCCTTTCACCGAGAGACGAAACCTCGTGACTCACGTGAAACGAGAAACGGCGAGACCGAGAAACCGCGTGGATCCCGAACAGCTGAGGCTGCAGCTTCGTGTGGCTAGAGTTGAAGTTGAGTGGAATTTGGAGCCGCGCTCCGAGGGTCAAACCTTTGTTTTGGAAGCAGTGAAAATGCAGCTTGAGCTGCGTCTTGGTGTACTGGAACCTGAGGCAAGCTTTGAAGAAGAAAGGCCTGCTGCAGCGTTCATATGTGTCTAAAATTTGCTCGTTTGTTGCACCAAATTCTGGGAACTTCTTCAACCTTCCGGCCGTTCTGTTACCGGCCGAACATGGCGTTCACGTGTGTTTCACCTGGCCGCGAACTGCTAGGCCGATCCTACAACTTTCGGCACTTCGACATCTGAGCTGTACATTAGACCACTGGGCGTCGCACCCCTCCGACCGAGTGGTCCGACACAGTGTGTGAGAGAAATGACAGACCGGCAGTAGAGTTGGTCACTTGAAAAGGGACGAACAGCAGATGACAAGACGCGTTGGTTTTCTTGTTCTTGCAAGCTGGACCTTCTTTTCTTTTCCTTCTGGACCCTCCCTAGACCGGTGTGACCCAGCGGGATTAGTGGGGTTTTCCCCCCCATTTTGCACGTGTCACCCCTGCGCAGCTGGGCTGAAAGCGGCCCTGCCGTCGTCGGAGAACACGGGGCGTCGATTCCGGGCAGCTCCGAATTCTGTCAGCCGAAAGTGTTCTTCATCGCTACTAGGGTGGAGGCCATCGCTATCGAAGAAAGTGTTCTTAGTCCATTTCCAGGTTAGCTATGAAGGTGATCTTTCCAGGTATGCTCCCTATTGATCGGTGAATGTGTGCAGATGCCGTCCAAGAGAGCTGCCATCATTGAGCGCAGGGAGCCCCAAAACGATTCGGAATGTGTTGACAGCACGAGGATTCGCGTATTTTCGTGAAACAAGTCCCACGCTGATCTCTCCCAGGTCCCAGCTCTCTCTCTTTCTCTCTCTCTCTCTCTCTCTCTTTCTCTTTCGTCCAAATGACAAGTATGCGACTTTGGCCCTAGAATTTCTGGACGGACTATAAGCAGATAATAGCAGATATAAGCAGTACATTAATAATGCCATGCTGTACGTTTGCTTTGTGTTTTTTGGCCTCTTTGGCCGAGGTCCGAAACGTGGCCGTGGGAAGCCCAGACCGTTTCGACGCGCAGTCTGCGGAATTCGTGGTTCGTGTCGACCTGAGGTGGTTCGATCAGCAGCAAGAAGAGGGCTAGCAGCAAAGGATATCTTCTGGCAGCTCGTCATTCAGAAGGCAGTGAAAGAATCTCAATTAGGTAGGTGACGCTACGAACGGAGCAAAGGGCATCGCTGCTAGGAACAAGAAGCTACTAAGGAGTTCATTTCAACACTGCTTCCAGTCCAGACCTCCCCTCAAAGGATCAAATAGAAGAGGTTGTCAAGAGGATGGTGTGTTGGGCGCCTTTCATAAGACCCCCATGACGTTTGGCCCAAACACCCTTCACTGTTGTCTTCTCTACTGCCAAACAGCAAGGCCAGACGTCAACAAGCAGAGCAGGTGAACCGCACCATGGAGGCATCGCAACGGAGCGAGAAGAGCGAGGATCTTTCACAGCAAAGTGAGCTTGCCGTTGGCCAGGGGAGTCCGGTTCTTGTGCATGTTGGTGATGTTAGATGGTCTCCAACCTACTTGCGATGGCCTCCCATGGATTTGGGAAAGAGCTTGAATATGTTCTTTTTTGTCAAACCGATTCGCCCGAGCGTCTGGCGCTGGAGACGCTGTCAGCTGGAAACCACGGAGAAACACCTGTTGAGCTGTTGGTTTGGGTGTTCGATCCCACCGTGGACAGGCAAAGCTGCTGGAACGCTTTCGCTTGGCCAAAGAGGAGATGGGCAGCAGATTTGAGTTGTTTTCTGTGCTGCTTTTGTTTCTTCGGGAGCAAGAAGAACAGAAGGGATTCGGCAGAATTGGAAAAAGCCCCTTTGTTTTTGACCTCGATGTGTGGCTTTGCGAGGAGGACGAGGACGCAGTTCCAGTGCCTAAAACATCCAAGGCAGAGAGTGAAGAGTTGGTGACGAGACTCAAAACGCGAGTTGATGGCAGTTCGCCGCAACAGCCCAGCTTTGAGAGCACAAAGGACGGTATAACATATCCTTTTTGTATCTTTTTGTCAGGACCTCACCTAAGAAATGAGCATATCATCTCCATGGTACATGTTCCTTCATTTGTTACTCATCGTATCCTTCATGAAATTACACCAAGCTCTATTAGAAGAATTCTTTTGGACGTCCCGGTCAAAGGGATTTACTACGGTTACAGAACAAGTCAAGGGCTTCATCTTTTGAAGAACCGGTTGAATTCCCAAGTCCAAGCAGCAAAAACAAACGGCCTGCATGGGAAACACAAAATGAAAAAACGGTTCAGAAATGATGCGAACAGGCTGTGATGATGCTCCACCAGCTCGCAATGACGGTGAATTTGTCCGCCCTGGCCTCAGATAGACTTTGAAGGAGTTCATTTGTAGTATTTTGGATGATTTTGAACATCACAACGCATGAAGAAGCGCCAAATGACGTGGGCACGCCACGCGGTTTCCTTGATGAATCTTTTGTGTGCAGCACGCTGAGCGCCAGTTTGATGATGCGCGCTTGGCCAAAAATGCCTTCGAGAAGCAGGTGGGGTTTTGTGCCAAAAGGTTTCAAATACACCCGGGAAGGAAGAGACCCACATGGAACCTGATGGCATGGACCAGACTGGAAGACGATTCTCCTCCACAACCCAGTATTTGTTCAGGTGTCATGTGGTTTGGTGCCAAAGCCAGGATCATCAAGTGAAAGGGGTGCTGGAGTATGAAGACTTCGTTCAGGCGCCCTTTTTGCATCACAACACGACGCAATGACGCCATGCGACGCAGAAACGGAGAGCAGTCGGACCAAGGGGACAAGTCGGACAAGACCGAAGCAAACAGCACACTGCCATATCAATAGACATACGGAGGAAGAACGAGGCAAGTCCTGCCCTTGGTTGGCCTCTTTTTCTTTTGCAGGTGTTGGTTGTGTCTCTTGTGTTGAATGAAGGTGTCCAAACAAGTCCAGCTATTGATGCAGCAAGTTCTTCCAGTTGGTATCTTTCTTGCTTGGTGGTCAAGACAGGCTGTGTTGGACATTCACCAGACCATCAACCACAAGTGCACAGTCTGCCTGACATGTTGAAGTACCCACTCGGAAGTGGTGTTCGGGATGCTTGGCAGATCTCTGATTTAACGATGTTTGAGACATCCCAATTGAAAACCAAGACAAGGGGCTTTCTTTCGCTGTCTTGAGCTTCACCAGCGCCCGTGCTCGAAAAAAGGATGCTACGCACTGGGGTGCTTACTCTCTTGGTCCACCCTCCCTTTTGATCCGCCAGGCCTTCACCATGACGCAATGTGAACACCTTTGTGCTACCACGTACCCAGCAGACGAAGGCGAGTCTCCTGAATGTGCGTGGCCATTCGTCGTCTCATTCAATCTCATTCCTCTCCTCATCGTCTTACCGCTGCTCATCCCTACTAGGAGCAAGGACGCTACTAATGGCTCCTGGCATCGCTACTAGGAACAAGTGCCTTACTACTAGAAACAAGAAGCTACTAGGAACAAAAGGCATCGCTACTAGGAGCAAGGACGCTACGTTCGGGGCTCCTGGCCTTGCTACGAACGTAACAAGAAGTGTCCTCATCGTCGCACACCGCAAGGGATGGTCCTTTGTCGGTGACTCCGTCGTTGGTGCTTTGAGAGGTTCGGATGGCACCGTGGATTTGGTGCAGTTCTTGCACTGGCCGGGGCACCCAGCAGTCGCGGGAAGAAAATCATGCGGGTTGACCTCATCTTCAGTGCTTGCGGAGAAGATGAGGATGTCGCTTTGGGGTCTTAGATTCACTTTGCCTTGCTCCAGGTATGCAACCTACAGCTTTCATGAGAGCTTGTTGCTTTCCCCAGAAATGAGGACTGCTCGACTGCTCAACACGAATTTCTTGACGTGTTCTGCGGTTTTCTTCGTGTCTCCTTCCCTCCGTTGACTCTCTCTGTTTTTGCGAGGAATCTGCGACGTCTAAGCCGTCAGTATCAGGTTCCTTGGGAAGAGGTCGACAATGTGAAGCGTGGGGACTCCAAGGGAGTCGTCCAGTGTACGAAGCAGCGGTTGGGAAGAAGGCTTGGGAGGCCGCTAGTAGAAACAAATGAAAAAAGGAACAGGAAGAAAGGTCCAATATAGTGAACCAGACGATCAGTGCGAGCGCTTCTTCAAGGAAACTCGAGCTTCCTTGAAGAAGCGTGAGCTATCCTGCGTCCAGTTTCTAGTAGCTTAAGTGGCTACCTAGTCTCTACTAGCAACCCTACCTACCTACCTACCTCGGCCTACCCCCCCAGGCTATAAAAATATATAGGTCCAATATAGTAGCGTTCTTGTTCCTAGTAGTAAGAATGCTCCTAGTAGCGTTGCCAGGAGCCCCTAGTAACGATGCCCTTGCTCCTAGTAGCGAGCCTTGCTCCTAGTCGGTTGCAGCATCGCCTTGCTCAGGTCATTTCGACCTGGTGGACACGGATCACTCCGGTGAGATCGACTTCGAGGCGAAGCCCCGACGTTGTTTCTCACGTTGTTTGCAGCGGGATTTCGCGTTTGAAGTCTTTGTTGACCCAATGTGAAAAAGTTCTTTTTGAAGTTCTTGGTGAAAGGAAAGTGAAAAATCACCTCTCTTCTTGGCTCATTGAGGAGTTCTCCCAGATCCTTCGGAGAGTTCTACAGGTCATAGCCTGGGAAATTGAAAGGAAGCAGCCGGCGGTTGTGTATTGAAATGGGAAAGGTTAAACATATGCAATTATATCAAGTACTCGGAACCAGAACCTACGAACGGGGCTCCTGGCCGTACTACTAGGAACAAGAAGCTATTTAAACTTGAAGTTTCTACTAGCTTCTTGTTACTACTAGTAAGGCACTTGTTACTACTAGCGATGCACTTGTTACTAGGAGCAAGAAGGCTACTAGTAACAAGAACAAGAAAATGAAACCCAATGAGTGAAAAGGTCTTTCTCTACCCGCGTCAGATCGGTGGTTTCAAGCGCCCAAGGTTCCTCCAGAGTTGGACATGCCTCCCAATCGGGCCAGGCCAGGTGCTTTTTTGTCCATCCTTGTGGGTGAAGGAATGGGCATTTTCCCTGTAAATATATGCATTTGGTTCTAATAGTTCTACTATCTGTTTTTAAGGATATTCCGCAAATGGTATCCTGCTTTGGCACTTTCTGTGCGTGTGGAGGTTCTTTTGGAAGCAACTCGACACCGACGGAAGTGGCAAGGTCAGCCCGTCGCTCAGAGACAAAGGCTCCACTGGCTCTGCCGACTGCCAGGCGGACTTTGCTGAGTTCCTCCCCTGGTGGCTGAAGTACTTCCAACAGAAGGAAATGGAATGTT